AACATAAGACAAGTTAGCCAGAAACCAGCTCACTGGTAAATATTCAAAGGGGAAATGTCTAGGCTCCAAATGGCACTGGACAGGTAAACAAGGACCACGTGTCACATCCTCTCTCTCCTTTTGGTATGTGCTTTGATTTCCCTTAGATCTGAGAGTAGATGTGTAGAGTTAATGAAGAGATGTTAAATATTGGCCCCAACATGACCAATATCCTTTGCTATTGAGCAACAACTCTCTATTTAAAATATCTTGGTCATATTGACTTTGTCTTAACAAGCTTGGATAAGGTACCAAGTTGTCTCACTTCCCTGCTCCACATCTTAGGGGTTCTCATCTTTGTGGCACTTTCAATAATGGCAGCTTCTCATATTCTGCCTTGTGTGGGTCTTCCAGTATGTCCTCCACTGCCACCTTGTTTATAGGACAAAGCCATTACCGTGCACCTTTACAGTTGAGGATGCCAGTGTTCAGAGAAAGGAAACTCCTGGCTCAGAGTCACATGTCCCATAGGCAACAGATCTTGGGTTCAAAACTATAAATCTTCAGATCCCATTTTCTTCCATGCACTGCTGAACATAACCCTTCCATGCAAGCCAGTACCCATACATACATCTTGATAAGTGCTGGACAGCTTTACCAAGAAACTGCAGTCAGTTCTAGTAAAACAGTGATTTTCAAGCTTGACCTAGAAACAAAGCTAGATCTTTGAAAAGAATAAAAAAATTAACTGTTAATTTTTCCTGTGAGATGACACTGAAATAATAATGTGTATTCCCATTTATTTCTTAGAAGAGAATAAAGCATCAACCATTAATTTTTCCTGTGAAATGACACTTAAATAATAAATGTGTCTTCTCATTTATTTCTCCACCTCTAGTTTTCATTCAGATCAAATGAGTTCAGCATAGATCCTTCTACTGACTTTCCATTTCATACCTCTGAATTTTAAATCTTGAAACATGAGAAGTCCTTTTTCTGCTGCTCCTGTCTCTAGGGTTTGGTGGGAGCTGTGGGATGAAGAATGTCAAAGGCCTCAAAACGGGGGAAAGAGAAATCTTTACCATGTACTTCTTGAGAAAGGCTGGAGTCAAGGGCCCCAAATACTAATTCTTATTCACATATTTTTAAAAAGAGAAGGTAAAGCATAAACTTCATTCAATCAAAACAATGCTCACTGCTGTCTGTGCTCTGGGTAAAATGGCCTTCTAAAGATTTCTTTTTCTTTTTTTTTTCTTCTTTCTTTCTTTTTTTGTTTGTTTGTTTTTGTTTTTTGGTTTTTGTTTTTTTTGTTTTTTGGGGTTTTTTTTTGGTTTTTTGAGACAGGGTTTCTCTGTGTAGCCCTGGCTGTCCTGGAACTCACTCTGTAGACCAGGCTGACCTCAAACTCACTTAGATCTGTTTGCCTCTGCCTCCTGAGTGCTGGGATTAAAGGTGTGTGCCACCACCTCCCAATTTCTAAAGGTTTCTAAACAGCACATTTCACAAAACAAAAATAAGACAGTGAAACTTCCTTTACACTTTGTCTTGAAAATTTGGACACAGATGTCATTCACAGATTTTTAAGATTAGAAGCAAGGCTCCTACTCCTATTTCATTCAGTGTGAGGTATGGACAAGAACCCAGGAGCCAGCCCCTTCAAGTCGGGTAAGAAGATTGCTGGCAAGCATGCATCAAGGTGGACAGAAGAACAGTGAAGCATTCAGTTCCTTGGAGATCTAGGAACCAAGTCCCTCCTGGGTTCCCAGCTCTCCAGATGGCCCCAAAGCTAGTCCAGGACCATGTTAGACAGTGTCAGTGGTCAGCCTGCAGGCTCATTGAAGCCTACATCAGTGGGTTTGTGTGACACTGTGCCAGGAGTCAGCCATAGTCAGATTTAGGCTCATCCCAAATGCAAACCAATGGGCTTGGGATCCCTACCCCCAGCCACATGGTCTTCTTGAAGAAACATTTCAAAGAAAAGGCCCCAGGTGATTCCCAGAATGGAAACCTGAGTGACACCCCACTCTTCCTGTCCTGGCTGCCTCTTGCTCAGTTGCTACAGTGAATGATGCTAGATGGGACCAAATATTAACCTTCTAAGCTTTCTCAGTCCCTCTCTCCTTTCCTCAAGAAACTCAGTTAGTTCTTAGCCCAAATAAGTTGAAGGTAGCAGGGCAGTGGTCACACATACCTTTAATGGCAGAATTCAAAAGGCAGAGGCTGGTGGATCTCTGAGTCTGCGGCCAGCCTGGTCTATACAGAGCAAGTTTCAGGACAACCAGAGCTACACAGAGAAACCCTGTCTTGAAAAAATAGATAGATAAATGGATGGATGATAGATAGATAGATAGATGGGTGGATGGATGATAGATAGATAGATAGATAGATAGATAGATAGATAGATAGATAGATAGATAGACAGATAGATGTTAAGTCGAAGGTGGCTTGAGATGTCAGTGGGTTGTGGGGATGGGTGATTTGGAGGTCAAATTCTTGCACAGGTGAGTTTTCATCATGCCTTCTGGGCCCTTACAGCCAGGCTAGGCCTGGCCACAGACTGTCAACCAACAGTGGCCGTTTTCCATGGGGCATCCCTGGGCTATGGGACAGTAGCCAGGTGTGTGAGGAGCTCTGGCTTCGGCATGCACACTGTGTTTGTCCTGCTTGCATGTTGCATCCCTCATCCTGCACCACTCATGGCCCCAGGATTAGGGAACAGGACTGTCTGGCTCGTGGAGCTGCTGCCCTGCTTCCCTCGGGATGTGGCTGCTGAGTTCTCCATCTCACCATCCCGTGGCTGCCAACGATGAAGACTGTGTTCTAACTGGCTGATGTCATCCTCCATCCTTTCTCACAAAAAGGATCCCCCTCTGCTGGAGTGGATGCTCTCCCCTTCAGCGCCCTCCTTCCCGCTGTTTGAATAGCCGTGTGCCGTGGTGCCATGCAGCTTTTCGCTGTCCTCATTCCCCCGTTGTTCACCTTGTTTTTTCCACGGAGTGTGCCCTGTTCTCGTCCTTCTGTCCCATTCATCATCCAAGGAAGCAGCTCAGAAACAATCTAGATATTGCCATGGTGAAAGAATGTATGAGGCCTGTCATATGTGGACAATTCTTACTCTGTGTCAACACAGAGTAACAATGAAGCAATGTGATTGTATTTCTTATACATGGTTCCACTCAAGACGAAATTCAAAACAGTATCCTCTGCCATAAACAGATGTTTCAAGGTTGGGATCAATACATGAAAACAGGTGGGTGCCGATAGAAAGGTGTGCCTCTGAAAAGATGGGTCCACTAACACGCAGTGATGTGACATCACTGTGCAGAACATGGTTGACAGCCAGCTTTGCAAACACAGGGCCACCCACGTCCTGTTTCCTGAGCAGATCATAATGGATTCCAGCTGTTTATTTCTTTCCTTTACCTGGCAGAAGGAAGGGAAACTACAAAAAACTATTAGTTGCCTGATAGAGTTTATCAATTTATTGTAAGATCTCTCTCTCACACACACACACACCCTTATTTTGTAATGCCACTATGAACATGTGATTAATATTGATGAAATATGTAGATCACTTAAAAATTCTACTCTTTTGTAAACACATATACACACACCAACTGTTCTTAAAAATACAGAAAAAAATATTTAACTAATAGTAATCCCCAGAAATCACCAAAAAAAATTGTTATTTACCTAAAACTCACTTCTCATTGAAGCATCCACTTCTTTTGTAATGATTCAAACAATGGGCAGAATAGGTAAGATCCACAAGAATGTAAAGATGGGGTGATTTTCCTCCCCAAGGGCAGAATTTTACACTGGTGTATCCAAATAGCTTTAGATAAAATTAGACATGTGGGAAGGAATATATAGAAAGAGAATATATGGTATAAATACCCAACACAGGGATGTTTGACATCTGCTTTAAGCAGGCTCCTGCATTTCACACAGACTCATCGATTACAGGCTGATTCACGTGTGGGTTTTCAGCCTCTATCCAAGGCAATGGGCCATGGACACATTCAGTGGAATGTCTCTGGAGTCTAATTAATTTCTTGAAACTTATTAGTAGAACGTTGTTATGACCAAGAAAGACATCTTTAATCTGCTCACAACATTGTTCAAAATAATCTGGGATTTTGAAAAAAGAACAGAAATCAAAGCTTTTGCTTAGAAACTAAAGGAAGAAAAAGAGAAATGATACGTGCTTGTCCCCTCTCCCTTCATCCAGTCGCCATACCGCCAGCTGACTCCAACATCCCTACCTCCCAGTGATCTCCATTACAGACGGGTTCCCAGGGCCATCTACACTCAGAAGCTCAAAAACTGGTCCCCTGCCCATGCTCTTTGCACCACAGCAGGCCTCGGAATTGTGCCTCTCTCTCACCTGTCTCAGCCAGGCGGGCTTCCTGGGAAGATGATACTGATACTCAAAGTGCCCTCGGTACCACTGGCAGCTCGTCCAGCCTCCTGCACACATGACCCTTGGTGTTTCATCTAAAGTATGAGATCCTCAGTGATAGGAGAGCCAAAATCGGGCTGTTCGTATTGCCTCTTCCCAGGTAGCCTCCTTATTCTCTAGGAGATGGTTCTGTTGGGGGCTGGAAAAGCCACATAATGACGTTTGGACTACTAAAGATGGCAAGTGTGGACAAAGTTCTCTGGGTCTAGAAGGCTGTCCATTCTCCCTGGAGTGTCATCTGTATAAAAGTGAGGCGAGGCAAGGCCTGGGCTGAAGCACCTTTGCCAAGTACTCTGTTTGGTGGAGTGTTGAACTAACGTGTCCTGTTCTGTACCGCAGGACCCAGCCCACCCTCGGTTGAATAATATATTTTCAGTGATTCTGAAAATGGGCCGTGAAGCCGTCTACCACATGGCTCGTGTTTGCACATCTCCATATAGTTACGATTGCCGAATTTGACAGTATAACTCTGAATCTGATTAATTAAGAATGTGTAAAAACAAAGTTCTTGCATTCTAGCTCGTTCCTTATCTTTGTGTCTTTTACTGTGATGTTGTAGAACTTGGATCATATGGAAAACTAAAATATTATGACACAATGACTGAAGAAGGTAAGAATGATTTCAGAATTGTATGCCGTTGGCTTTTTCTTTTCTGTCTTTCATTTACTGTGTCTGTGGCTTGCCCATTTCTTAACCTCTTTATTTTCTTCTTTGCATGACCTCAGTAACATTGTGTGATTTGGTTTTGGTTTTTTTTTTTGTTGTTGTTTTCAGTTTTAGTTCTGCATTTTTGTCTAGTTTTTGCCATTGTGTTTAGTTGGAATTAGAGACGTGCAATACCATGGGTAATTATGTTATTCCATTCAGACGATCAAACCATCCCAGTTATATATAACACACGCAGAGAAATGGTGTCGGCAATGTAAGCACAAATCAACACCCACGCACTCACAGGCACATACAGAAACACGTCCTCCCAGTCCTCTCCTGAGACGCCCTGCATTTCTCAAACAGAGGGCTGTGGGCTTGTGTCCTGCTGCCCTGTCACCCTGCCAACTCCGACAAGAGCCTTAACCTGATAGGCCAGAGTATTCCAGGTACTCCAGGCATCAGAGTAGTTTATATGAAGCTCCCACTCTGGGAGGTCGGGTGAGTCACTTGAACAATTTCCTAAGGAGAGATTTATTTTAAAATGCACTTGCTAATGAATTCCAGTCCTTATCTCAGAGGATAACCTTGTCCCAGGGAGAATCACTTTTCGGAATTATTGAATTCTGGAACAGAATCATAGAACAGAGATTTGAAATTTGTGAATCTTGTGAAGGGAGATGTCTTCTCATCCTAGCTGCTGTTCTACCCCACACATATCTCCACATTTGAAGGAGTATATAATGTTTATTTAAAAAATCATTTTTACATAATTCTTTCTCTGATACTAATGAGCAGTCAGAAAGGTATCCTAGAATGTCCTTCAACACAATAAATTCCCAAACGTGTTGCATATCTTGCATTCAGCTTCCAGTATTTCTTAGCTGCCTTAGTTGCCAAAGGTCTCCTAGTTGCTTTGCATGTAGGAAGTGGACCATCTGACAGTCCTGGATAAAGAGGAAGCCCCTCCTCAGCCCCTCTCAATTCTGGCTTCTGTGCATACCTGGGCCCTTCTCCATTGCTCTCCTGGGTTTCTGGCTAACCACTGCAATGTGGTTAGGTCATCTGGTCACTAAGAAGATCTCAGGAAGAGTCCTGCCGACAGCCAGAGAAATGCAGGTGCTTGAGCAGTGAGAGGCCCAAGAACAGAGGCTGCCTGTAAGCATAGGTACCCTTCCACCAGGGAATAGAAAGAGCTCTATACACATTCAAGGAAACCCTTGGCCTGACTGTTATTTGACTCCTGGCTTGGACAGAGGGTTTGTTCACTTCTGCTGGGCTGTCACTAAGCTCCAGGGTCTCTTTACATCCTGCCCATGGCCTACCAGCCCCAACTCCCATGTGTCACCTTAATCTCCCTTTCTCTTCCCACTGTTTCTCTCCTTCCTCATTGTCTAACCATCTGAGCAAACACTGCTCTGCAGAATCCCCTTCCTCTTTCCCTGCTACCCCAGAGTAAGATCACATGGAGACATAGTAGTGGTCCTTGCAGTCTGATGATATTACTTGCTGATGACTGGGATTTGGAAGAAGACAATAAAAGTCAAACTGTTGTCTGGACTAAGAACCAAGGCTGGTCCTGAGGAAGCTTGACCACTTGTGTTTTGGTGGCCTCGTGGATCACCGCTAACATTCTTTATCTCTGACTTTCCCTCCCCTTGTGTATTTCCTGCTGCCTTATTCTTAGCTAAACATCCATCCCCATTATGATAAGCAAATAATAACTAAAGCAGAATTCCATGAGATAGTGTCCTGTGATGTTACTAGGTATATTTGAACAACAAGGAAGGAAAGGAGGGAGGGAGGGAGCCATGTAAGCCACATTTAAAGCACTAAGAGACTTTTGACTTAGATCTCCTTGCCAGGTGACTCTTGGTCCTTGGCTGTGCTGTGAGACAGCCTATGGTGAATCACACAGAAGACTCAGGTGTGCAGGGTTCTCAGGCTGCTTTGACCAGAGAAATCTTTCTTACATGGGTCTTCTTGAGGAACCATCCTGGAAATGCTACCTGAGGTTAACCCTTCATCTGGAATGAAAACCTCTGAAAGAGTGAAGTCTTCTAAACACATAGCAATCCCTCTAAGGTACCAATAGAAGGGATATTGTGCAACGGAGGTTCAATCCTCTCAAACCACACTATTTAGCAGAACAAGCCAAATTTGGCTTAAAACTAATTCTTGGATTCCATCAAAGAGACCCAAAGTCAACTTTGATCCCTTGGAGATGACAATAGACATATTCTCAAGGACTTCTCACCTCTCACTTAAAAATAATAATCATAACTGTGATTTGCAGCTCCCCAATGCTGTACAATTTAAGGGAGTGTCATAAAGATGGAGGTGTTTGGGGCAATAACTATAGATTCACCACCTTTGGGAAATACTCTGCTCTGTTTCAGCAGTTTAACAATTTTAGCACTGTGACTAGCGCTCCAGTAAGGCTTTATTATGTTAGCTCATGTGATGAGTCATTATTAATAACTATTCACAGGTGTTCTCTGGACATGATGTAAGGTCAGCTGCTTTTGGGCAAATCCTTTTGTCCTCCTTAAATGGATCAAATGGAAAGATGCATTATACATGCCATCTCATCTCTAGAAAAGAACGAGATAGGGATTTTTAAGTACACAAAACTGTCCTCCACATAGTTGGCGCATTATTTTTGGGCACCTGCTTGTGCTAGGCATCCTCCCGGGTACTCTGAGGAAGCAAGATTGGAGAGCAGGCAGTTTGTTCCTGTGAGACTTACAGGCAAGGGGGAACAATGACAGGATGACTGAGGCACTCAAAAGAAAACGGTAAATACCAGAGAAGTTAGGAGATGATGTAGAAAAAGTATCTTCCAGTAATGAAGGGAGGAAGGAGATTTTTGTGAAAACAGTGGTCTTTGAATGAGCCCTAAAAGGTCAGTAGATGTGGGGTAACCTGGAGAAGGAAGATGGCAAGGACCAACTGACTGAGCCAAGAGAAAGGAAACAGGGGGCCACTCCAGCGCTGTGAGTTAGTTCCCTTACCTGCAGGGTGCAGGCCTGTGGGTTTTGTACTGTCTCCCCAGCATCATGGCCACATGGGTAAGCTGTAATGACCATGGAAAGAAATCAAGACTCACAGAAGTATCTTAGTACTTGAGGAAACTGAGGTTCCGAGGAGCAAAGGGATCCATCTGGGAAGACAGAGACAGGAAGTGGTGGTGTGGGGCCCGAACTCAGTAAAAGTCACACCAAAGCCCTGCCTTGTGCAGGTGGCTCTGGGGAGCACTGATATCTAACCCTGCCTTGCACAGGTGGCTCTGTGGAGCACTGCCATCCAGCCCTGCCTTGTGCAGGTAGCTCTGGGAAGCACTACTATGTGGCCCTGCCTTGTGCAGGTGGCTCTGAGGAGCACTTCCATCCAACCCTGCCTTGTGAAGTTGGCTCTGGGGAGCACTGCCATCCAACCCTGCCTTGTGCAGGTAGCTCCGGGGAGCACTGCCATCCAACCCTGCCTTGTGCAGGTAGCTCTGGGGAGCACTATCATCCAACCTTGCCTTGTGCAGGTGGCTTTGGGGAGCATTGCCATCTAACCCTGCCTTGTGCAGGTAGCTCTGGGGAGCACTATCATCCAATCCTGCCTTGTGCAGGTGACTCTGGGGAGCACTGCCATTCAGCCCTGCCTTGTACAGGTGGCTCTGGGGAACACTGCCATCCAACCCTGCCTTGTGCAGGTGGCTCTGGGGAGCACTGCCATTCAAGTTGGCTGCAGTGCATGGAGTGAAAGTCTTAGTGTCCACCACCAGTTTCTTTTTGTTTCTGCAACAAAGTACCCTCAATAGATGCGGTAGCCCAAGACATCTATTTATCAACATGAAGATGGACATGGTGCTAGGGTAGGATCAGGACCTGTGACTGGCAAAGATAATCTTCCTGAGAGCCTATGCCTGGTAGGAGACATGAGCGATAAAGGCTGTAAAAACATTAAGCCTGGAGCGCGCAGCAGGGTACATCTCTCAGCCTTGGGAACCCAGAGCAGGCAGAGTCCCAGAAGCCCCAGCCCTGCCCCAATCAAACAGTGCCTCCACAGCTTCACTCCTGTGTCCCAAGATAACAAGCTGTCTAACCCAGTGTGTTCCCTTAATAAAAGCTGCATAAGAGGCATTTTATAATCATGAGAGGTTAGTGAGCTTTGCTTTTCCCAGGGACTGTACTTGCTTCTGGAACAAGACATTTATGGAAACTCAACTGAATGGGCCTAATTGTTGTATTTCCATGACCTCAGCTCCATACACCACACACACACACACACACACACACACACACACACACAGAGGAGGGAGGAAAAGAGAGAGGTAGGAGACACCATCTCCTTGTCTCCTCAGAAAATAATACTGCATATTCATGAAAGAGCAACTTCAAATCTATAAAGTAAGTAATCCATAGTTTATTTGACATTTGCATATATACAAGTTTTATATCATTCTCACATTTGAGAATTCTCAATAAATTGATCATGACTACTTTTCTTAACACTGCTCTAAGTGCAAATGTATAAAACTACTTCGGGGATAATGAGATGACTTAGCAGGTAAAGGCACTTGCTACCAAGTCTGATGTCTCAGGTTCAATACCCAGGACCCACATGGTGGAAGGAAAGAATCAATTCCCACAAATTGTCCTCTGATCTCTAGATCCACACCATGGCACAAGACCCACTCCACCCCCCCCAAAAAAAATAAATAAACAAATATACAAAAGAAAAAGTTAGCTCAACATTTTTTTCTAGCTGAACCCAATGTCTCAAGCATACTAGGCAAGCACTCTATCACAGACTGACCTACTCTCCCAAGCCCCAGTTTATACGATGGATTTAAAGCAAAGAGCCGGGCGGGTGGGTGGCGCACGCCTTTGATCCCAGCACTTGGGAGGCAGAGGCTGGTGGATCTCTGTGAGTTCGAGGCCAGCCTGGTCTACAAAGCGAGTTCCAGG